AAACAAGGATTGCCACCAAGGCAATCATCAGCCAAAATCTGTCTCCAAGGATACTTAATGTTAAAACAAGGATTGCCATCAAGGCAATCATCAGCCAAAATCTGTCCCCAGGGTAGTCATCAGTCCAATTCCATCTCTATGGAAACAAGAAAACCTCAAAGAGGGTACCAGACAAAAAATGACACTGCTACCCAACATATCAGCTTGTCTGGTGAAGCAGAAGTGGTCTTTTATTTTGTCCTACCCTGATTTACAAAATGATGTCTTGGTTATGTAGGAGGATCATAATTAAAATTACAATAAATTATGACATTGCTTAAGTGCTATTTTACAGTTTCATAAAACACCAAATAAATCATGGTGTGAAGTTCATCGCTGCCAATTGTGTACCATTCTTAAGGTGTGGGCATCTATACCTGACACTGGATTAATACACAGTGCTGTTGACAAAGCAGAAATTACCATGACATCGTAAAACTGAAATTGACCAAACACAGATCATAAAGCATGCAGTGCAGGTCATTAATATTGAAGAGTGCTATTCCAGGGATAGTGCCATAGAGGTATACATAATGATAGTGATACAATAAATGCCTATTTATGGCTGGCAGCTGATTCTACTGATGTCAACCAGCAATCTTTAGTAATCAATGGGACATTCTCATGGACCAAACATTTATGAAGCTTTTAAGAATAGACTTTTCTATCATTAGATTATTTTTACTCCCACATCCAACATTCTGAAAAGTAGTACTTTTATCAGGGAATCATGAATATGTATTTTCTATGGTTTATATCTATCTACCATGAAATTTCTTTGTCTTCTAATGTTTTATATGTAGTTTATCTCCTATTTCCAGAGAAAAGGACATGAAAGACCTTTTAATATTTCAAATGAATAGAAATAAATATGATGAGACAATGTACACAATCCTTTAACAAACAAGAGTGTTAATGAAACTGATGAATACTCACCCAAAACAACTTTATTGGACACAAAAGTTAAACAAAGGGAAATATTTCTGTAATCATGGGGTTGCAGGCCCTTACCTTGGTACACTGCACATCCAATTAGTTTGACCAGTGTATATACCAAATTTCATTATCCTATCTCACATGAAAGCAAAGTTATGCTCTGGACACAAAAGTTTTAAAAAGGGCCAATAACTTTAAAATTGAGGGGTTTTGGCCCTGACTTTAGTACACTGTACATTTTCCTAGTTTCTATGTTCTACAATCTTATTTGACGTCTTCAATAAGCTGATAATCTGTTTGGTCATCAGTGAGTTATCTCCCCTGCATTCTTATCGCCTTCAACAAGACTAAATACACAATATTTCATTCTCTTAACTTAGGAGCTAAAAATAGTTCATTTTCATTGTTACATATGTACTTGAATACCTAAACAGAGTGAAGTATTCAGAGCTGGATATGCGAGTTGGAAAAGTACTGTTCAAATGTTTCCTGCTACAGCCTTGAAAAAAAAAGTAAGCAGGTATCATAAGTTGATCTTGATTCCTCCAAACTAAAACTGACCCATCCATTTTCTTTTGAGTCTACTTCGATGACCTACCTTACTTTGAAACTGATGAAAAATTGCTGGAAATGGCCCATTGCTCTAAGCTCCCAGGGGTTTTCCTGTTAAGGACAAGAGAAAAATAAAACAAGCCTTTGACAAAACATACCGTATTGAATTACGAAATTAGGGTTTCATTAAACAAAATAATTTATTAATACAAGTACGTACTGGCAAAATATCAACATATCAATATAATGGTTATGTGTAAGGTTTAGAGTTGATATTTCAAGATGGTGCCATGTAAACAACCAAACACCATTGTAGTGAGTTTCCATAATTTCATGGAGCTTTTAAAACAAACTTCAACAAATTGTTTCACATACTTGTAGCATAAGCTTTGGTTAATGATGGTATTATTGACAAGTATTTGTCATTATTCATTTAATATAGAGCTTCATCAGAACATCCAACTGAAAATTCAAGTGTATGTTAGATATATATGAAAACATTTAATGAAATTTCTTGATTAATTACCCTTTGTATGCCGAATGATGTAGTATTCATTTAAACCGTTTCATGTCAATATCATATAATAATATGTGCTGAAATGAATCCATGAATAAACAGAGGGGACATAACAATTTGTCGTTTAATTTCCACTTTTTTTTTTAGAAAGAACATTCATTTTTTAGCCAATACTTTTATATTTACATGTACTATATGAATAACATACAAAATGTACTTGATGCAATCCAATGATTCATATCATTACGGTACAATTGTTAAAATGAACACAAGGGCAAGAAAACTTACAGAGCAAGAGGTCAATAGGACCTGTACTGTTCATCTTGTTTCATTTTGTCACAACTGCTTTATCAATATTGGAGGAAAAGGATTTATTACGGTTTAACCCTATTGGACTTCACTCCTCTGACATCAGGGAATCAGACCTTGGTTTATACAAAATGGAATCCCTTCCATCTAGTGATGCTTCAGAATGCATTTTGGTCAACACCCCATGATCCCTACAGAAAAAGGATTTTAAAATATACTTTTATTTCTCAATTTGGCAATGCCTCTCTGCCCTCAGGCAGGAGAGACTCATCCTAAATTTATGTAATATTGAGTTCACTTCATCCATGAATGCTTTAAGTAAAATTTGACCCCATCCCATGTTCTCACCAATTTTAGTCAAAAGACCATTTTCCAGCCAAGAAGATGGATTTTCTATCATTACCGCTATATCTGCTACTGGGAACCAACTCCATGGAATGGGGGTTGGGATCAGGGGGGAGAGAGTCCCCTTCACCCAATGACGTATCTAACCAAATTGGGACAAAATCCTGTCATTCTTAAAGCAGGATAATTTTTAAAGAATTAGCTGTATATTCCATATTGGTTCCCATCTGTAAGGTCCTGCAAGCAGAGATCAACCATTTATATAAATTTGTTTCCTTTCTTTCAAAGATGCTTCCAACCAATTTTGGTACAAATATGCTCACGACTAAAAGTGATTTTAGGAGTAGTTGTTGGATGATAGGTGGATGATGAACAACAGGGTATATATGGCATCAGCACGCCTAGACCAAGCAAGTTCTTTTCATTCTACCTCCTTCAGATTTTCCATTATAGTCAACATCAAATTACAATGAGTATTACATGAATTCTGAAGATTATTTGTACATTTGCATATATGAAGATGTTCAACATTTCAGTCAGGAAATCTTCCCTTCAGGACTATACCTCATACTAATTATTAGAATTGGGAGCCAGAATGTTACCATTAATTATCAAGATCACAGATATCAATGTCATGTAACGATTTCCAAGACATAATAATGAAAATAGTAAGAGAGCATACTATTGTTTTCTTACTCCAGATATCTGATCTGGGATATCTATATTCAGACTATCAATGTTACACTTCTGGAAATCCTGATCTATCACCTGAAAACTAATTTATTTTGTCTCAAGTTGACAAGTTTATTGCTGTTTCTGATAGATTATGATTATTGATCACTTAATCATAAATGTTAGTCACCATTTCTTACTATTGTACATAATTATGCCATGAATTGCCATGACTGTAAATTATTAAAAGAGCCATACTAACTGTAATTGCACTAATATTAATATACTAAATTATTTGCTATATTCAATGTTGTACAATGGATTTCTTATCGCTGATGGTTATTGTTGCTCTGTTGAGTCTAATGGTTTAATTAAGGAATGGACAGGAATAAAGGAATGTGTATACAATGAGTTGAAATCTTACAAGACTTCCAGAGTTAAAATCAAGTCTTGTAAGATTTCAACTAAATTTGTTGGATTATCACTACAAATCACTGACTTCAAATTTGTGAATTCAGACCTATTGGACCATTTTCCATGATTTTTAGAACCAGAAAGCCCATACTTCTGCTTGATTGTGGACAATCTCTCTATGTAATAAAAATATTAATAGTGAAAGAGGTTCAAATAATGGATTTAGATAATTTGGGAACATTTTCATATTATTTCTATTAATATCCTTACCTTATAATGAAAGACGATTTTTTTTTAGAAAATAACTGGGAATGTCTGTTTTTAGGTGAAAAAAAAAGAATATTTAAAAATGAATTATTTCCCGTTACACATATTCTGATGCCTGTACTGGAAAAAGTAATGTAGCAACATATTGATTTTTTGCCTATAATCTACTTTCTAAAACCAAACTTTTCAAAAATTCATCACCAGAAGAAAAAAAAAATTGAATACTGGGATTTTGTTTTTTCTTCTCTGCGGAGTACATTTTTAATCATACTTAACGGAGACAGGCCACAGAGGCAGCTCAGGTGAGTGACATAGATTTAATTAAACACCTTAAAAGAGATAAAGAGATGTTCAAAGCAGTATCAAATTTCATGATATAACTTTCTCTTTTTCGCTCTTACAAAATCTGCCTGTTTCTTCCGCTAGCAGTCACTCGTCGCGTGTTGAAATGTGGCGCGTGAAACTTACGGTACACTTTTCCGTAATACGACATCTTCCATTCGTGTTACTTGTGATATTTAATTTTAATATTTTGCTCTTTTAGATGTCTGTGTTGTTTCTTCTGTACATGTTACATTCATATTTTACCTTGTTATTAATTATTACCACATGTACAGCACAAAATTATATCACTAAACTCTTTTTACGACATATACAAACTATCATAAAGCAGGACGCGGGATTCTGTCAACTTCCGGTGCTTGCTTGAAAAGTGTTTTCATTCAAAGTGCATGTAAAGCAGATTTTTTTGGTAATTTTGATGTCTATTATACCGTCGTTGATTCAACTGCAAGTTTGTTAATTTTATTACGCCGTTTGCCCCAGATTGGTTTTAATTTTAGACGAAGAAAACGAGTAAATATCCATGCACTGAAGTTGTCGTGCAAGTCCTGTCAAGTTTTTGGTGTAACGACTAAGCAGTAAATCTGGATATTGAAAATGTGTTTTGTTTGGGGGGGATGTCAGCGGATTCATTAATCATCAGTTATGAAGTGTGTAAGTTTTTAAATTAGCCCATTTGGAATTGAAAACGAACCAATTCAAGATTACCACTTGAACCTACTGTCAGACTATATTTTGATTAGGAAAATGAAGTATGGAATGACCGAAACATACCAAAAAGAACAGAATTCTACACTGAATATGATTAATATGAACATAATATTTGCTTTGCAAATCGATGAAATGATATATTTTGTCAACACTGAACTAAAGTTACCCATGTGATTTGTATTGTTTTCATTATTTCAAGCACTATTATGCTTGAGGGGAGGAATTTATTTATGACTATAGAGCTGCTCCACCTGGAACAATTAGAAAGAAGGAGCCGAATAGAGAGGTCTCCTAGACCTGTGTTTGGTATAATATCATGAGGTATCCTGAGGTTGATTATTATGTTCGTAGTGACCAAATATCGTGATTACTGTACTGTTAATTTGATTTGTCATTTGAAGCAACGTGTTTGTGTCTTATAATTCATGGTTCAATGAAGGTGAAATGTTAATCTACTCTTTTTTTTATGATTTATAGATTTTAGGTATAAAATGACACAACACGTCAAAATAAAGTTAAAAAAAATATATCAGGATTTCACTGCTAATGCAGGCAAAATAGCCATGTATACCTAACAGTAAAAAGACCATTATGAAAAAAGAACTTCTTGACAACTGTATATGTTGTGCTGCTTACTGCTCATTGTTCGTTAATCTACTGAAAATAAAAATAATAACACAAATTACTTGTAAAGAAAGAGATCAAAGAACACTGGTACTGAAGCTTGTTGTTTGATAACTAAGGTATCTACATACCTGTATTGAGTGGGTAACTTACAAATAACACAGATCTGTCAACTATTGTGCCCCAGGGTACATCGGTCATTCCTTACCATCCCCCATCACTTTACCACAGTGTCTTTTATGCCTATCTTAACACCAAACAAGGAGCTGATGATGATTATAGTCGTTAAGACTACATGAAGTCTATTAGATAGAGTATGTTGTGTATGGGTTCACAAGTATATTTTTAAATCATTAAAAATCTTTTTTTTTTATATAGCAATGCATTATATTATGTTTCATGACATACATTGCCATCTTATCAAAAGACACTTGAAACATATAAATATTTTCTTTGCAATGTAACTTGACTATTTTATCATATATGATATTCATTATAAATCTTATATTTTTATTACAATACTTTTGCATTTGATTTTCTTGTTCCAAATGCATGCAATATTTGAATTTTATTTGAATGCAATATGTTATATATCATCTTGATAGTTAAATCTAAGTTTGAGGTCGTTAAACTTCAACGTCTGGTACCCAAAAATATTTCCACTCAACTCATGCGATTAACTTCACAATAGAGTTGTCTTTTAGGAAATCTGTAATTTTTCTGAGAAAATACAAAGGTTAATGCATATGTATACATTTGTCCATTTATGATGATAAGTCATTGACTGAATGTTGCTGCCTGTTTATAATACATTTAAAAACTCATTTTCTTTCACGATGCAGCAAATGGAAATCAAACCCTATTGGGTTTATTTATAGTCTATTTCATGTATAACCACATAACACACTCACTGCTTCAAAATATTGGAAGTTACAAATTTATATCTGTACAATTATGTGTCATTCATTTATAGATATGATTTATATGTTTTTTTAGATGATGTTTGATATGATATACTGGAGGATGTAGCATCTACTATTTCTGAAGACAGGACAACTTATTTAAAACAGCAAGGATGACAAATTCCATGTCCAAAGGTAAGTAATATGTCCAATATATATTTAATTTTTCCACATTTTTACATCTATTAAAACTTGATGATTTCAAAGATTGGTTATATATGAAAGTTTTTTTTACTCTGCCCACTAAATTGTAGTTTCTACAGGTCAGAAAATATTGAAACTTGAATGACTTTTAGTGTCAATACAAAAGTAAGTCAGTTCTACATATTAGTTCATTTGATGACAAAGTATTCAACTATGACAAATAGTTATTTTATCTGTAGTTGTATGTTGTTAACTTACAAAAGTGTTGATTCAAAGTAATGAACTACCATATCCTGTTATCATGGTAACATTATTGGAAGTGTTGTCATGGTTTCTGTAAAAAATATGGCGTTTCTTTGTGAAAGAGATTTAAGCAGTTGTGATCATGAGTAAAGTTAAAATGATTCAACTAATGCATTGTTATTGTAAAATGATGTTCATAAGATTTCCTTCAAGCATAATCGGCATGTATGCCTTATACCAGTCTTTAACTTTATAACTTTGTATTTGTTTTATGTTCTATGAACGTGATGTAATTTATGTAATATTTGTGTCTTGATAAAGAGGCAGGGTTGTCTAAAAAGTTCGACAGTTCACATGTCCGTACTGTCATTATAACTTCATTGATCTTATACCAGACTTTAGGATATATACTTTATTAGAGGCATTTTTCAGTAAGTTTTGAAGGATTTTTCAGTTGAGCACCATTGTCAAAATTTGAGTCCCATTCCTAAAAGATATTGTTAGTACTCAAACTTGAGTGAGTCCGACGAGAAAATCATGAGTCTGGAAATAAAATATCTAATGATAAAAAATCACTGATTTTTCCCATTAAACATTATATAGTGTTACTGCATTTGTTGCAATTTCAAAAGTAGTGTAAAGTGATGCTGACTTGAATTTATATTATAAAGTGACATCAATACCACAAGTCACTATATAATTTATAGTATAAAGAGATACTGACATGTGTTAATATGATTTAGAGCAGAAAGAAACATTGATATATATATATTATTGTGATTTATATTATAAAGTGATATTGGAAGCTGTTTGGTGTGGTAATTGGTAGGCTCTGAAATATAACTGACTTTTGTAGAGGAGGAGATTGTCCAGCTGCAGGACCTAAATCAACAGTTATGTGATGAGCTGAGACAATGCCAGGTATGTGTGATATGTTACGTTGTTAGCACCACATCTATCCTGTAAGTTTACTTCTGACTCAAGAGTAGTAAAGTTGCCTATTAAACGACATGTAATTTTCTATTTCATACTATTGTGTAAAATCTCATGGTGTTTTAACCATATAGATGTTGGTTATCACCCTGTTGACATCTAGGGTCATTTTGTCAAACTGTCTCTATATAGTGCTTAGTGGCTACATAACTGGACAACATATAAGAGGCTCATCACATGCTGTCCAGAGCAGTAAGGTAAAGTGTCTTGCACAAGGATACATTAAGCACATCAACAAAGACTATAGTTGTTTCCTGGTTTACAGTGAAATAAGCAACAATACACATAGTTTTGCTTTCTGGTAGTTGACCTGATGAGACAGTTTGACTGTTTTCACCAAATGTATGATATAGTGAGGTACTAATGATCAGTAAGTGTAGTTTTATAGAGCTGTATCAAATATTGCTTGTCTGTATAACGTGATATCTTGTGTCCCCCTTTGTAGAACTCATTTCAATTAAACTTATTGAGAACAAAATGTATTTCTTGTTTTTAGCAAAAAAAAAAAAAAAAAAAGAAATTAGAGATTTCTACAGTACAGCATCTTTTCTCAGACTAACTTATTTGAAAGAGAATGAATGCTATTGTTTATTCAACTTTTATTTAGATATAACATAATTTGAAAGAATATTACTAAAGAACATTATATTTTGTACCAATTATTGACATTATATAGACTGGCCCTTATTTTACAGGCAGACAAAGATTTTGTTTGGTCGTTGTGGAAAAAGTTGCAGGTGGCCAATCCAGATGTAACAAAAGCTGTGTCACTGGTGGTTCAAAGGTCAGTGTCATAATAGTTCAAAGGTCACTGTCACTGGTGGTTTAAGTAGGAATCACAATTCATTGTAATCAGAATGAAATGAGAGTTCAAAGGCCATTATCCTGATTTGTCATATGGTTAAAATGTAGCAATTACTGAAATATATGATGCAGGAAGAGAAGGCGGTTTTCATGTTTTTATATATTGCTATATATTAATGTTAGGATTTTATTTTCTGTTGAAGGGTGGGTATATTGTTTTCTGTTGAGGGATGGGTATAATGTTTTCTATTGGGGAGTGGGTATATTGTTTTCTATTGAGGGATGGGTATATTGTTTTCTATTGGGGAGTGGGTATATTGTTTTCTGTTGAGGGATGGGTATATTGTTTTCTATTGAGGAGTGGGTATATTGTTTTCTGTTGAGGGATGGGTATATTGTTTCCTGTTGAGGGATGGGTATAATGTTTTCTATTGAGGGATGGGTATATTGTTTTCTATTGAGGAGTGGGTATATTGTTTTCTATTGAGGAGTGGGTATATTGTTTTCTGTTGAGGGATGGGTATAATGTTTTCTATTGAGGAGTGGGTATATTGTTTTCTATTGAGGAGTGGGTATATTGTTTTCTGTTGAGGGATGGGTATAATGTTTTCTATTGAGGAGTGGGTATATTGTTTTCTATTGAGGAGTGGGTATATTGTTTTCTATTGAGGAGTGGGTATATTGTTTTCTATTGAGGAGTGGGTATATTGTTTTCTGTTGAGGGATGGGTATAATGTTTTCTATTGAGGGATGGGTATAATGTTTTCTATTGAGGAGTGGGTATATTGTTTTCTATTGAGGAGTGGGTATATTGTTTTCTATTGAGGAGTGGGTATATTGTTTTCTATTGAGGAGTGGGTATATTATTTTCTATTGAGGGATAGGTATATTGTTTTCTATTGAGGGATGGGTATATTGTTTTCTATTGAGGGATGGGTATATTGTAATGTTTTCTATTGAGGAGTGGGTATATTGTTTTCTATTGAGGAGTGGGTATATTGTTTTCTATTGAGGAGTGGGTATATTGTTTTCTATTGAGGAGTGGGTATATTGTTTTCTGTGGAGGGATGGGTATATTGTTTTCTATTGAGGAGTGGGTATATTGTTTTCTGTTGAGGGATGGGTATATTGTTTTCTATTGAGGGATGGGTATAATGTTTTCTATTGAGGAGTGGGTATATTGTTTTCTATTGAGGAGTGGGTATATTGTTTTCTATTGAGGAGTGGGTATATTATTTTCTATTGAGGGATGGGTATATTGTTTTCTATTGAGGAGTGGGTATATTGTTTTCTGTTGAGGGATGGATATATTGTTTTCTATTGAGGAGTGGGTATATTGTTTTCTATTGAGGGATGGGTATATTGTTTTCTATTGAGGGATGGGTATATTGTTTTCTATTGAGGGATGGGTATATTGTTTTCTATTGAGGAGTGGGTATATTGTTTTCTATTGAGGGATGGGTATATTGTTTTCTATTGAGGGATGGGTATATTGTTTTCTATTGAGGGATGGGTATATTGTTTTCTGTTGAGGGATGGGTATATTGTTTTCTATTGAGGGATGGGTATATTGTTTTCTGTTGATGAGTGGGTATATTGTTTTCTATTGGGTGATGGGTATATTGTTTTCTATTGAGGGATGGGTATATTGTCTTCTGTTGAGGGATGGGTATATTGTTTTCTGTTGAGGGATGGGTATATTGTTTTCTGTTGAGGGATGGGTATATTGTTTCCTGTTGAGGGATGGGTATAATGTTTTCTGTTGAGGAGTGGATATATTGTTTTCTATTGAGGGATGGGTATATTGTTTTCTGTTGAGGGAGGGGTATATTGTTTTCTGTTGTGGGATGGGTATATTATTTTCTATTGTGGGATGGGTATATTGTTTTCTGTTGAGGGATGGGTATATTGTTTTCTGTTGAGGGAGGGGTATAATGTTTTCTATTGAGGAGTGGGTATATTGTTTTCTGTTGAGGGATGAGTATATTGTTTTCTGTTGAGGGATGGGTATAATGTTTTCTGTGTTGAAGGATGATGTCAACATACAGCAGGTCTAATTTTATATATACTTCGAGGTTTTCATTATCAAAGTTACACACAAAGACAATATAAATGAATGATCATTTTAGTTATATAGCGCCTCAATTTGCTGGTATGTACATGTTCTTTAGCCTTATTGTTGTAACAAGTTGATAATTGTTCTCCATGATAAACAAACACTAGTAATGAAATACTGCTGACATTTTAATGTTGTGTTTCTATAACCACAGTAAATCATCACATTTATTGTTGCGACAAGCCAATCTTTGTTGCATTCATATGAAAATTACGTAAAGATAATACAATTGGGCCTACATAGTCAGTTACTTTAAATCAATTAATTGTAGTGTGTTATTACCTAATGAAATAAATCACCAGTAAATATGTACAGTTAAAGATTGAGGAAATTTCAAATTTCAGGTCGAATCTTACTGGTCTAGTGAAGATCACATTAATTAGATATACTTCTTTCTGTGATTGAACTTTTAACCAGTAGCCCTTTGACCTTAGTGACCTGACCTCTGATGAAATGAGATTCCTTTCAGAAATGATAATGATGTAGCATGAAAATGATTATGTAAACAAAGACTAAAAGTCCATGTGACCAAAACTAGGTATTTGCTAACAAATAGTGCAGCACGACCAAAATACATATTGTCTTTCAACTCAACGCAATGTCTTGGACAACAAATATATTGCTGTCCTATGAAATTATTTGATATACTTATTAAAGCATGTTAATGCTTTAACATACTGTCTTCATGTATTAACCATGTGACATGGCTAAATATGCAGGCCTAGAGTACCACCAGATTAATTATACAAATTCAGAATACCACATGTCTACTTATACAGACTCTGGATACAATATATCTACTTATACAGACTCAGGATACAATATATCTACTTATAAAACTCAGGATACTACATGTCTACTTATACAGACTCTGGATACAATATATCTACTTATACAGACTCAGGATACTATATATCTACTTATACAGACTCAGGATACAATATATCTACTTATACAGACTCAGGATACAATATATCTACTTATAAAACTCAGGATACTACATGTCTACTTATACAGACTCAGGATACTATATATCTACTTATACAGACTCAGGATACTATATATCTACTTATACAGACTCAGGATACTATATATCTACTTATAAAACTCAGAATACTACATGTCTACTTATACAGACTCTGGATACTATATATCTACTTATACAGACTCTGGATACAATATATCTACTTATACAGACTCAGGATACTATATATCTACTTATACAGACTCAGGATACTACATGTCTACTTATACAGACTCAGGATACTACATGTCTACTTATACAGACTCAGGATACTACATGTCTACTTATACAGACTCAGGATACTACATGTCTACTTATACAGACTCAGGATACTACATGTCTACTTATACAGACTCAGGATACTATATATCTACTTATACAGACTCTGGATACAATATATCTACTTATAAAATTCAGGATACTACATGTCTACTTATACAGACTCAGGATACTACATGTCTACTTATACAGACTCAGGATACTACATGTCTACTTATACAGACTCAGGATACTATATATCTACTTATACAGACTCTGGATACAATATATCTACTTATAAAACTCAGGATACTACATGTCTACTTATACAGACTCAGGATACTATATATCTACTTATAAAACTCAGGATACTACATGTCTACTTATACAAACTCAGAATACCACATGTCTACTTATACAGACTCTGGATACAATATGTCTACTTATACAGACTCAGGATACAATATATCTACTTATAAAACTCAGAATACTACATGTCTACTTATACAGACTCAGGATACTATATATCTACTTATACAGACTCTGGATACAATATATCTACTTATAAAACCCAGGATACTACATGTCTACTTATACAAACTCAGAATACCACATGTCTGATAATACAGGTCCATGGTACCTCATGTCTGATTATACAGGCCCAGGGTACTGCATATCTGATTATACAGATCCAGGGTACCACATGTCTGATTATACAGGCCCAGGGTACCTCATGTCTGATTATACAGGTCCAGGACACCACATGTCTGATTACACAGGCCCAGGGTACCTGATGTCTGATTATACAGGTCCAGGACACCACATGTCTGATTATACAGGTCCTGGGTACCTCATGTCTGATTATACAGGTCCATGGTACCACATGTCTAGTTATACAGGTCCTGGGTACCTCATGTCTGATTATACAGGTCCAGGGTACCACTTGTCTAATTATACAGGTCCAGGGTACCACAGGTCTGATTATACAGGTCCATCCTACCACTTGTCTAATTATACAGGTCCTGGGTACTTCATGTCTTATAATACAGGTCCAGGCTACCACATTTCTAATTATACAGGTCCTTGGTACCTCATGTCTGATTATACAGGTCCAGGGTTCCACATGTCTGATTATACAGGTCCAGGCTACCACATGTCTGATAATACAGGTCCAGACTACCATATGTCTGATTATACAGGTCCAGGGTACCACATGTCTGGTTATACAAGTCCATGGTACCACATGTCTGATTATACATGACCATGGTACCACTTGTCAAATAATACATATTCTGGCTTCTCCCTGTCTTATTATACAAGTCCTGGCTAAGACATATCTAATGATACAGGTCCAGGGTACCTCATGTCTAATTATACAGGTTCAGGGTACTACATATCTAATTATACAGGTCCATGGTACCTCATGTCTGATTATACAGGATCAGGGTACCACATGTCTGATTATACAGGATCAGGGTACCACATGTCTGATTATACAGGTCCATGGTACCACATGTCTGATTATACAGGTCCAGACTACCACATGTCTGATTAAAAAGGTTCAGGGTACCTTGTGTCTGAT